AGAAAAAGACGACGAGAGCAGGCAAGTTGAGTTTCCAATTTCTGTACGATAAAGTAAATTTATTTTTGCTCAATGAAAAAGTGGAATGAAGGCTACGAAGTCGAACGAAATTAAGTGTAACATAATACAACAAATGAAAAAACAATGAAATAAACAATGAAAAAGTTTTTTCATTATATCGCTTCTTTTTGTTTTTTGTTTTGTATTGTTAATGTATATCAAGAGAGAAAAATAAAACAAATATTTCAAGCACTTTTTCTGCAGTTCAAGTCCACCTGAATCATTGGGTATACTCGACTTGAACCAGCCAACTTTTAATAGGGTGAATAAACCATTATCACGAAAAGAAAGTAGATGTGTGGAAAATTGGAGGAAGAAAAATAGGGATTAATGAAATAGTCAAGCGTAGACTGCGCATTTTAGTTATTTATTAGTTAATTGCACGGTTTTATTCTCAATTTCTGTACTCAGCAATAAAACGTTGCCATACACTTCAGCATTTCATACGTTGGATGCATGTGATACATTTCGGCATTTCAGGATTCCATACATTTCATACAATTGATGCATTGGATACGTTTCACACACTTCAGAATTTCATATATTCCATGCGTGGTATACATTTCACACATTTCATACAATTCATGGATTTCATACATTTCGCACACTTTCATATAGCTCATGCATTGCATACAGTTCGTACACTTCAGGATCTCAACATTTTATACAATTCATAGATTGCATACAGTACATACAATTCATACAATTTCATGCATCATTTCGCGCATTTCATACAATTCATGCATTTCATTTTATTTAAGGTGCCGGCAAAAAATCGTAATTCTCAATTTTCTCAATCAGAACTTAACTTTTAAGCAATTAGAATATCGTATTTGGCTGATTTTCTGTTTTGGGTGAAAATCTTGGTAGTTTTTCAAGGTGAAAATTGCGGAAAAATTTAAGTAGTCAGTCGTATAGGGGCGAAATACAGATTCGTCGACGAACGTCCATGATGAACAAACTTTTAACTTCAAAATTGTTCAACCAGCATTTTTCTACTCAGTCAATGCTGAACAATAAAAAAATATTTTTAAATTTGTATAGTGGTCTGGAACTCAGATATTGAGCTATTTTTGAACTTGAAGGATTTTTCGACTTTTTAAATCCTTCAAGTATGTTCACATTAATTTCACTTGCAATGTATGAAATATTGAAATTTAGAAAATTTTGTAGGAAGAGGTATGATCATCGTCAAATTTTTATGATAGTTCATTCTGACATTATTGTTTTGTTTCAGATGTCTCTGTCAGCAAAACAAGCCCTACAGCTAACCGATGTAGATCCAAAATTGCTAAAAATTCTAGATGATATTAAACTGGCCACACAATACGTTTTGGAGCTCACAGAAAAAACAAAAAGTAATTATATTTTCTCATTGAGTTTTTGAACAGCGTTCATCTTTTTTTGGGTAGATGATTGGAGACAAGACAAATATAAATGGCTTTCACGCGGCAAATTTGATGCAAATATCGGAAAGGTACCAATGTTCAGTACGTTTTATTTCATTTCCGAAGATGACAAGAATAAAGCAGAATCAGTAACAGAAAAGTTGACAAAAAAAGCATTTGTATTAAAGTCAAATCCATTGAAAGTTACTGTACTATTTCCGGTAACATCGCAAACGGAATTAAAACAACAAAATTAACAACACCCAAATCTATGCTCGGTAAGATTGACGAATTAGTGCAAACATTAGAACCAAAACTGGTTTACAATCAATTGATTTCAACAGCCATAGGTGCAACAACAGCGAAAAGCCCCAAACAAGTCGATAATAGAAGAACGAAATATCTTCAACGATTATCACTACCTCAAGATGAATTATTCAGTACATATAAAATATCACTAGATTCGTCTTCATTCGTGCAACAGTATACCTTGGCACTATATTTGATTATCATTTGTGCCCATAAAGAAAGTATTAAATTATTTAATCAATTATTAAAAACAATAACAACAAAAGTTCCCGTATCATATGATACAACATTTAACTTGACCAATAATTATGTGAGATAAGTGAAAATCTGCCTCACGCCTCCTCAACCTCAAAAAATTAACACTCTTTCTTTACTTTTAGCCCGTTAATATACCGTCATTCAAGCTTCGAAAATGAACCAGCAACAGTCCTCGGATATATGGTGCACGAGTCAAAACGTCAGTATGGACATCTTCAGTTCGTTCGATTCATAAAAGACATGTGTCCCAAATTTGAAGAACAATGTGTGTTAGTTACGGACAACGAAAAGGCTTTCAAAACAAGTTTTCATAGGGACAATGCATCTCTCTCTCTGACTCTCGTTCAGTTTAAGTAAAGTTTAATTCACTTTTAGGAATTTACATGAATTTGCGTGAATTAGGATGAATTTACGTGAATTTCAGTGAATTCAGGTGAATTTTGAATTTATTTGAATTTGACGGATTAAATTCAACTGTTTCCCCCTGGCAAGAAACTCGTCGCCGTCCTACTCCAAGTTGAATAAATCAACAATCTCCGCAACTTCAAACAAACGTCATTTTGTATGAGATTGTTTCCTCTATCAACTAGGATCATCTGCAGAAAATATACTAATTGAAAAGTTTTCTTGAAAACCGATTTCTCAGAAACCTTTCTGGAAACTTTTTCGTGATTTTGAAAACGATTTCATTGGGTTCTACCTCAGTTTTTACTGGGAGAACCAAATTTTTATAGAATTGGGGTCAAAACTGGTGGTATTATTTAAATATAATTTGGCCAATTTTGGGCAAAATTGCTTAAATTTCAAAAAAAATAAAGTTTCTCCGTAACAAAACAAAATTTCAAAAAAGGAAAACATACTTTTACCCTACATCTGATGGTATTAGAAATACAACTTCATTTATTTACCGAGGAAACTAGAGTGGTTCACAAAATGACCGAAAAGCACTTTCAGAATCCTCGGTTCGCTCAGCCACCGGCGGTTTCTTTTCGAGTCCAAAAATTTAAAATTTACTTTTCTATATTCATTGCTTAACGCTGAATATGAAGATAGTTGTTTTGAGGCTTTGAAACAATCTTGAACTAACTAAGATATTCAATTTTTTTAAAAAGTCTGGCGGTCTTTTTAAACTTTTATCTCTTAAAAATTTTTTAAAGTTTTTACACTTAAATTTGTATTAGAAAAGTGAAAAACTATATTTTGTGGATCAGCTCGATGCACTCTATCAAACCATATATAAATAATCGAAAAATAGTGCTCGATTTTTGAATTTGGTGAACATTATATTAAGATTTTTTTCGTCTTACGAACATGGTCTCGTTGAGAGAAAATTTTAAAGTTTTGGCGAGGATTTTTGCCTCATTTTTAAAAATTTATAAGAAGTTAAAATCTCAATAGGAATAGTTAATTCTTGTGTGGGTCGTTAGAGAACCTTGAACTGAGTATGAAGAAAGAACTTTTATATTTCATCAATCAGTTTGAGCGACAAAATTCAACTTTTACCCTCCCAAAGGAATTTTGGAGCTAACCATGCATTTCTAGGCGGTAGGTCTGCTCATAGGAAGCAGTCTGAAGCAAAAATATGAGTATAAAGTTGTTCAGAACGTAGTCTTGTACTATATTACATGAAAACTTTTGATAATTTCACCTGGAGATCGTTAGTTTGAAAATTACGAAGACGACTTGGCGCTGTCGAAAAGAGCCCACATTTTGATTATAATTTGACTTCTTTTTTAATCAGATGAAAGTGACTGGAAGACGTAAAAATCATAGAACACAAGTAGTTTTCTTTTGTGCATCGAATGACTGTAAAAAATTGAAACAAATAAAACTGTTTGATCCAGCGTTTTAGAGTGCTTTAGGTCAAAATCGGCCTAATCCTTCCGATACTTTCGTTCGAAAAAAACACTTTGGAACTGGGTACAAAAGTTGTTCAGAATTGAGTTCTGGAGTTCACCGGAGCTTTTCTCAAAATTTTCTTTCTTTGGTTGTAAAACTCAAAACTACTGACCTTTCAAATCTTAAAAACCGTAAAATCTAGAATCAAAATAAAATCTTTTAAATTTACTGAAAAAAGGGGAAAATGGGATATTTCATCTAATGTACGTTTTCACTAGGTTTTTGAAACTTTTCTAAAAAACAAATGCTGCCGCTACATTCAGCATAGTCGATAACCTACGTTTTCATGAATTTCTAACAGCCTAAACCTGACGAGAGAGAAGTCCCGAGGTTTCGGGAAAAACGCGCATAGCTCCCGAACCATGGATTTTTGAGATATCGTTTGGGTCTTGTTTTATAAAGGACACCTTGGACTATCCATATATGAAAAAAAATTACCGACTTCTATGTAAAAGTTTGGAGCTATAAGCTGCTTTTCTACAGATCGTCTAAAGAACTGGGTCCGAAAAGGCGCTTTTGCTTCGAAAAATATGAAGTCAACTGTCCTCTTTAGTTTGCTGAAAACCGCAAGTCTTTATCTTTTCCTGTTATTGAGTTATTAAAAGAATAACGATTTTGATTGAAAAAATTTTAATTTGCTTGGTTCAGGTGCTACGGATCTTTTCCCCGAAACCTTATGACTTCTCTGTCATTAGGTTTAGACTGTTAGAAATCCATGAAAACGTAGGTTATCGGCTATGCTGAATCTAGTGGCAACATGTATTTTTCAAAACATTTTCAAAAATCTAGTGAAAACATACATTAGGTGAAATATCACATTTTTCCCTATTTTTGAGTAAAATTAAAAAATTTGAAATCCTACAAAATCTTGGGGACATATAATTCGAAGGGTCCTCTACAAACTGTTGAAAAGAATTGGGTGCTGTCGCTCCCCCCACCCCTCCCCTTAAACGTGTTCTACTCAAGAAAACCTACGGTTTAGTAAACCTATTTATGACGATAAATCTTTCGATAGTTATTTTTTTATTGCTCTTCTAGATTTATATGTTAATATAAGCTTTATTATATTCTGATTTGCATATTAAAATGAATCGTTTGAAATGTGAAGATATTTTCTCAATTATTGATAAAAATGAAAAATTATCGAAATTACCAGATTCAATCCTTGGAAATACGATATATTGCTTAAAATTAAATGCTGATAGTAAAAGTAAGGGATATAAGCGATGGATTGCTTAGTACTTTTATCATGTTTGCTTGAATCCTTACTCTAGACGCGTGGAAAGATGATAAATTCAAATGGGATCAATATTCAACTGCAGATATGAAGGGAAAATTTACGTGTCGGTATTATTCATCAGCACAAAAATCGGCGACAAAATTAGAATCGGATCAAAAATTAATAAAAAAAGTATACACGTTGAAAACCGATCAGTTAACAATTGTTGTTCAGTACTTAGGTAATTATATCCATAACTTTATCTTATTACACTTTTTCTATGGTTCTCCTTTTTACTTTTAGGTGATGTAAAATTAGGAGTACCGTCAAATAAAACGCCAGCAGCAGTGATCCAAGAAATAGGAAAACGTGTACAACATGAAACAAGTGCACAAGTCTGTCGAGATTTAATATGTACACCAGAAGGCGTTTCGACAATTCACAACAAACGTCAAGTTCAGTATCGCCGACAAAAACAACTAAATCAATTGAAATTAACACACGATGAAATGTAAGTTATTATGTGCAACCACAGCTGTTGAAAAGTGTCATTGTCTCCATTGTGTAATATACGTACGTTGTAGGTTTCCACTGTATTCAATTGGAATGTACCATTCAAAATTTATCCAGTTTTATCTCCTTATGCCACAACTGGTTGTTATATGTGCAGATGAACAAATAATCAAAATATTCAATGTAAGTTTATTCCCTTCTTAATTAATATACCTTTTTTAGGTGCTGAGCTGGACTTATTTAGCTCTTCTTTGCGACTTCAGATCTGTACTGATTTATATTGTGTTTTATAGGCATTGTTATCCGTATCGGAAACGAAAATCGTCGTGAGTTACGACACAACATTCAATCTGACCGATGGCTATGTTAGTGCATTGATATTTCGTCATAATGTAAGTATTAATAACTTTTCTTCACATTTTCCTCTTCTGTCACATTCATTCTTCGGTGAGGCAACTGAATATAATAGATTACGAAGATGTTTTCTCGATTGTTGATACGAATGAAAAATTATCACAATTACCGGATCCAGTTGTTGGAAATACGATATATTGCTTAAAATTCAACGATGAAGAAGGTATCTGAGACTCCTGTAACGCACTCCGGTTTCCAGTTTTACGAACGAGATGTTATTACTCTAGGATCAGAGTGTACATGCTTTTCTCACATTTTCCTATATTCTAGGGATTTGAATCGTATCCGGCAATCGTACTCGCCTATATGGTACATGAAACGAAACATGAATGGACGCAGAGCGAAGGATAAAACAGATAAGATGTTGTCGCTTCCACTTGATGCTGTTTTTTTGGTCAGTGTTTCCTGAATTAATTTTTGCGTTGAGTCTGTCCATATTAGTTCAAACAATGAAGAACTTGTGTCCGAAAACGGAAGAAAAGTGTGTCATGATTAGTGACAACGAAAAAGCATGCAAAAATGCTTTTCAAAACGAATGGTGCGTTAATCAATATTCTTCTATCGCTCTCTCACAAACAATGCTTTAGCTCTTTCGTTAACCGTTATCTACCACTCCTACCTGATCAATTGTTTATATATTATAGTCCAAAACTAATACAACTGCGATGTCATACACATCTGTATCGAAATATTTATCGTCAAACGGTGAAATATTGTTCATCCAAAAAGAAACAAACCGGTGAAAATCATGAAATGGGTATATACGACCGGAATAGCTCTTGTCTTCTGTCTAATTTTATCATTTCATTTCATCCAGAAGTGGAACAACAAGTGGAAGAATTACAAGAGCAAAATTCCACAGAAGATGATCCAACGATCGAAGAAGATGAACTGGCAGATGAAGAAATGGACGAAGAAATTGTTGATCTGCTAGCCGTCGAGCTATCAGCACCACCACACGCACATACTCGCATCAACAATGAACAATCAACAATCGTGTCCAACAAACAACGAAGACAGTGCAATCGTCATACATCTTCCGGAAACATGATGGCAAACAGCCCGGCGCTATATAACAGACATCAAATGGCTCCTTTCATTATCGTCCAACGACCAGTTTCAATATCAATTGCCACATGCACAAAAAAGTTGGACGAAACATTTTATCAAATACTTTGATGCTCATGTTCTACCAGATATAGACGAATTAGGTATGATATATTCTTTTTCACTACAAAAATTTTCTTCCTTTGTTCTTTCTTCTATACCTACTTTCTACTTCGAGTCAGCCTCTCGTTCTCTGTTACCTCCGATCGTACACATTTGGGAGAAGCATGATTCGAAACTAGAAGAGTCGTAGATGACACAGCTGAAGTTAGTTCTTCGATATTTGATTTAGTTATCCTATAATTAGTGCCACAAAATCACTATTTTTCAGAAAAATGTCGTTCTTCTTATGAGATACATTACTTTCCAAAACGAATGCACTGCTATACAAAAAATTATTTATTTAAATTAGAGCAACTTTCCAATACGCTTCTACAATATTCGAAATCAGTATTTCACACTAATTCTATGTACCAATTTCACAATTATCCTCTATGCTATTGTGACCACTCACATAAACTAAAATAAGACCATATAGCTTTCACAGTACTAAATAACGTATGCGCCAGATAAAAACAGATGCTGGGGCAACCGGCAGCATAGCTATACATCAGTTATCAAGATTCAATCCGAGCTACAGAACGTCTCATTTAGCACCAAACTGTTTGCTATAATCGACATATTTTGATCGATATTCTAAAAGTGCCTGGTCTATGTCAACACAGACCACAGTTTCTAGAAGTGTTGTTTCGATGATCGATATTCTAAAAAGTGCCTGGTCCATGTCAAGGGGGATTGGAGATCGAAGGTGCTGAAAATGATCTTTCAGTGATGGATAATATAAAAGTTCGGAACTTTTGTCAGCAGACACCATGGATTTTAGATGATGATTTAAAGTGGATAGGTGTCTCGTTTATTGTATTTGTTATCTACATGAAGGTGAATTTTATATCATTCAAAGGACATTGGACTGTAAATTTGCATAATTTACAACGTGAATTTCTGATTAATCCAAATGGAATTATTAACAACATAAGACGATTGGATAATGAATTCAAAGATGTACCCGTCCAGGAAGACAAACCGAAACCATTAACAGCGTTTCAATTGTCTGAAATATTTGTCAGTGATGATACTGTTAGATTTGACAGATTAGCTCGTATTTATTGCATCACACAAATAAAGGTTCTACTTGTACGTTGTCTTTCGTTTTCGGTTCTTTAGGGTTATGGATCGTGGAGAACAAAGCTAAAAGCGAAGTGCAAATGGTGGATTTTAGACAGGTCGATAAACATAATCATTCGATATCTACGTGCACATGTCCGCTCTTCCGGATCAACAAGAAAGGCGGCGACTGTAGCCACATAATGGCTGCAAAAAGAAATGCTGGATTGCCGATTATCCAACCAAAACCTAATATGAAAAAATTGAGAGAAGCATCTAAACTGGAAAAGAATATCAAAAAGCCAAACGTTTTGGATAAAGAGACGGTAATTATACACTATATGGTTATTATTTTCAACTATCAATCCTTCCTCTCTCTTTACTTATAGCCAACAAATTCAACGAAAATAGTCCAGACAAAATTAGTTAAAAAACCAACAAAAGTTGCTCAAGTACGCCTCTACCATCTCGTACGTTCCCTCTAAGATGGTTAATGCTTTACTGTGTTTTAGTGTCGAACACCATTGGCGAATATACTCAGTATCAGTGACGATGATTTTTGACTTTTGACTTTTTTGACTTTTCTTATGAATGATAAAATATGTGACAGTATAAACATTTATTAATGATTTGAATTTCACAAGAATTAAGATGCTTTAAATAACTTCAGCATGCTTTGCCGATGGTGTTTCAGACCTTGTATTGGTTTTTACCTAAACGTTGGAACCTATTATAAATGAAAGCCCGTTCAAATCTTATCCAAGTGAATGTACTTGAATCAAGTACTTGCGCAAGTACTTCGGTTAAGTAATGAGGGCAGTACTTGTAGACTTTTCCAAGTAAGTTTACTTGTCAAGTACTTGAGAAAGTGCTTGACAAGTAAAATGTAAGTACTTGACTGGTCTAATGCAAGTAAATTACTTGAAAATGTTCAGTCAAGTACTTGTTCCATTTATTCTTATTTTGTATTTTACACATATTCTACTAAGTTTGTTCAACTGAGCAGAAATATATAAGTGTATTTTATAAGTGTATAATGATTGATATTGTGGTGTTTATATACCTGTGGTCAACCCCAAAAAAAGGATGACTGACTTGTCCAAGTACTTGGCTGAAGCAAGTCAAATAACGACGCTTAACAAGTTCTTGCTCAAGTACAAGGCCAAGTACTTAACTTGTCATGCACTTTCCAAGTACTCATCAGGCAATCAAGTACTTGTGTCAACAACATTCACTAGGGTAGCGATTAATCATATTAGATGTGCTATTTTTTTGGAAATAAACAGCACATCATTGTTCGTCGACTAGAATTTGGTACGTTTTTGCAATAAAGATAACCTTTCGATCCTACATTCTCCTGAAAGCCTATAGTTGCTAAAGTTCAGATTTTTGTTGAAAGAGATTAATTATCCTCGAATCTAACACCCTCGGTTTAAGATGACTTAGATCATTACACGTTGTACTTGGCATCACCTATCGCCGCTGGCCATGAAACTAAAAGAAAACATGGTGTTCTGATAGAACTCAGAGTTATTATAGTCTTTGATAAACGGCAATATTTTCTTTTAAAATAAGATTTCAATTTCAAACTGCATTACTAGGTACTAAAATTTCAGCCGATCGGTCATCTTCCATTCCAACTTCCAATTTTTAGTCACGACCGAAAAACAAGCGTTCTACGTAGGATTTTAGGCGTGACAGCCATCTTGAATTACTATTAGTTAGCGTACGAAAAAATAGTACGTAGAAACGAGTGCTCTATAAATAAATTAGCAAGATCGGAGCTGAACACTTCAGTATAGTAAGAGAAAAATATTCTGAACCGAACTGTCGATTCAGGTTTTCTGCTGTTGTAAGGACTACATCGCCACAGATGTCAGTCGGGAGTGGTAGGATGATAGGTCGTTCACTATTTCCTTTGCAGTTCTATATTTCAATATATAAGAGGAAATAAAAGAATGATTATCGTTCTAGTGATAGCCTCGGCGTAATAATTTCGGTATCGCTGGCGGCTTGTGGATGTAGCGAGTACTGTTTCTGTTCAGTACGGTAGATATAGATCGATTTCATGGGTACAGCCAAATTGGTCCACCGTACTAGTATTGCAGGACAGTGCAAGCGTCAGTTCCTCTAGGGAACACATTCAACACAAGCCCAAGCGTGATGTTATTATCACATGCGATATTGATTGCCTTATCGGTAATACCATCACTAACTGGAGTTCTAGGCTCTCTTTTATGCTCCTTTTAATTGCTTTTGTTAACTTTCATAATCAAATTATGCTTGTTAAAATTAACATCGGTGAAATATAACAAAGAAAACATTTACTGTTTTGTTGCAATTTGAATTTTAACTCTCTCTCTGCGTTTGAATCTTAGTTATTGAACAGATACACATCGAGATTCAATTCAAATGAGAGCTTGACGCTTTAGAATCGCTATGACTAGATTCACAACTAACTGATATAGTTCCAAAGAGAAAGATAAGCTAGTTGCAGCGCCCAATTTAGGGGTTGTTGCAACTAGTATTAACGACTAATTGCAGCGGGCGCTAAATTGGGCGTTGCAGCTAGCTGGTCAAACTAGTTTGAATAATGCATCCATGAATAGCGTTTTACAGAAGCGTGTCAAAAATCTGCAGTTTTACGGACAAAATAGATTCCGCAACCAAGAACACAAAAGATTTTTTCACGAGTCGAATGAACTAAAAATCCATGGTCAAGATTTCCAGCTGTCTGTCATATTCCGTAGTGGTTAAGAAGCCCCGTGCTCTTCTGCCACGGCTGACGATAATCGAGAAAACCGAGTGCATGAAAATGTACTTTATTGAACTAATGAAAAAAAGAAAAGTGTATAACAAATCTGATGTGTAGCACTGTACAAATCTAGACTGACGCGAAAAAAATTATAAAGGAAAAAGCACACTGACAATAAATTCTGATTTTTCTCAGGCATCTCGTGCTGCTGCAGCAAAATCGCCTAAACTAGATAAAGCTTTTTCTTCGGATGCGTTCAGATTTTCAAGAATATAAAATAATTTTCGATCACTCAGCGGCGTGAACTTCAATTTTTCATAATGCCATTTGTATTGAACAATAACATGAGTTCTTTTTGCTTGAAGAGCTTGTTTCGGGATGGTAAGAATTTCACTGCAGTCTAGTTCAAGTTCTTCATGTCCCCACGGTATAGATACCAACATTTCAGTTTCTATCAGCCAAGTAATAAAGTGTTCCGTTAACGTTGACGTGATACGTGAGCGTATGACGCGTATTTTGGGTTCTAAATGCAACAGTGTAGTTATGGACAGCCGTAAATCTTTCGCTAGGTTCACAGCATGCCAAGTACAACCAAACTTCCCTGTATTGTATTGCATGTGCAGCTTCAGGTAACAATGACAAAATTCGAATTTTTTCCTGGTATGGCAATTTCTGTTGATCACACCAACGGTACATCTCTATCAGATAACGGACCATCGCACTATCAGCCTCTAATGTTGATTTTCGACGGTGTGCTCCTTCAAGCATCGTATCTAAATCCGAAAGATTCACTAGTGTTTCACCCTGACCGGATGCCATAGATCTGATACTATTTCTTGAACACTTTTAAATCAGTATATTCTCTACTTACCAAAATATCTGGAAATGCTGCAATTACCCGTTACTCGGCATGCAACAGTTTTTCTTCATATTTGTCAAAAAATGGTTTGTATTTGCAACAACGAACTGTGAAATTCTTTGAAATCAGCAGTTTGTAGAGCAAATATTTCTCTACAAGATGGCATATAGTAGATATTTTCAACGTTGCCTGGTTTCTTTAAAAACTTTTAGTTAGAAATAGACTTCAACTCTGCCACAATCCATCTTCGTCTGACATTTCTGCCAACTTCAAATCTTTTGAAACTTGTTTGAGCAGGATCTGTTGAAACTCTTCAGTTTCGTTTTGCCGGGTCAAAGCTTCTGTCAGTGCTCGCCCAGAATCTATCGCTTGTCGAATCTCTCATTCTCGCATTTGCTGTTGATTACGAGCTGCATTTGCCCCTTCCATTTCGGCGCATTCTTGAATATATCGCTGACGATGCTCTTCCGCTTTAACATCTTCTTGATGCATCTTATCTGCAATCGCTGAGAGACCCGCTTCTTTTGCATCATCCTTGCCTATTTTTTTCAACTCGTTTCTCGTATTTTGAATTCTCACCTCAAGTTTCATCTTTTCGAAATTATCTCTTGTATGATCAAGTCAAGTACCAATTAATCATTCCTCACAGTAACTGTTAGTGTTAAATGTTAGTGTTATTTTATTCTTGGCATTCAGTGAGATCTTCGAGCTTATATTCGTAGCTAAACTAGTAACTACAGTTAAAGGACGAATAATAATAATCAACAATTCAATCAAAAAAAATATGCAAAATTGTCAATCTGCATCGACAGCTAGCGCCTCACAATCATAATGATGCTAACAGCTCAACTTTAAATCTCAAAAAACAATAATATCATATTTTGTTTAAAACTAACGATATTCCAAAAAATTGAAGATATGGTTGTGAGGTGCTAGCTGCTGACGTTCGTCCATGCGTGCTTTGCAAATATGCGCAAAAGAAAAAGTATATAAGACATTCTCATGAGTGGCGAACTTTTTTCTCTTCACTGATCCAACACATCATTTCATACTGTACCGTGATTTCGTTCCGGAATATGACATCTATGGACAACTAACATCGGATCCTGGTAGATCATTTTTGAAGCCAGTGTTACGGTTTTAGTACTTGGCTAAGATACATATATCCTACATTTTCTCAGTTAAGAACGCTAGTTCAGTTTGGAATTCGTTCTTCAGTTTGCCGCATGGCGCCCAGCTTATCATTGAAATTGATTATTTTGTTCGTCTTGTGTGCGCAGTTGGATCGGAAATTTGAAAACGGAGTTGCCTAGCCCTGGTACAATGTGAGCGAATGTGTATTCTACGGGCTCGCTAGCGAACAAGTTCGATACCAAAGGTTTTAAAAAATAGTTTGTCAAAGCTGAGAACATGAGAGCGAAAAAATACTTGATAGAAATCTCTGTAAAACAGAAAAAATGGTGAAGATTAAACCAAATGAAGGAAGGAGCAACCATAGCTAGTTTACGCCGTAGCCGTAGGTAGTCACATAAAGAAAAGTTTGAGTTAGAGCAGCAATTTTATGTTTGTTTTATTTCAGGAAGTTGAAAGTACCTTTAGTTGCCATTATATCTTATTTGCTCTCTAACTAAAGCATACTTTTACTAATGTGGTCTCGGCAGCAGATTGATCTAGTTTATTTTCATGCAAAAATGCTTTTCGTCACTGTGCAAATAAAGTAGACAGAAAGTTGAAGCTCTAATTGGAATATATCTTTCTAAGGTTTATGCTATTTTGTCTTAACAGTCCCTCAACAGAGCACTCGCCGATATCTCCGAATCCAAAAATATAAACTATCGTATTTGTAATCTTTGTCCGAACGCGTGCGATCGCATCAAGTTTCTAGGCAACACTAGGAACATGTTCGGTGATAGAGCGAGCATGACCGGTATCCGTTGCAGTATGATGCTTATGAGTTGGAAAGGTTCTAGATAGGAGCTATGTCTGATTTTTGGTTTTCTGGTTTTGCGTAAAATTATCAGTACACTTACAGCATGTTTTCAAAGTCTTTTTTGATTTGTATTCTTTTTGATAAGAGATTAGTTTTAGATTTATGATGTTCTAACGATGAATTCAGTCATAAAAACATTTCATTCAAAATTTACTCACTTGCTTCAGCAATTTCTTTCTATTCATATGACAGATCCTGCTTCCTCTAACCTGTTTATGTTTTACCTTTTAGCTAGTGGCAAACTGAGATTTTGTACACATTAAAGTCATATCATCTAGAACTTAGACCCGTATTGAATAAACATGGGTATTAAAGTGAAACGAGTGTTATTCACAAATTGATGATTTAACACCGGCAGGTAATTTGCTCTAACTCAAACTTTTCTTTATGTGACTACCTACGGCTACGGCGTAAACTAACTATGGTTGCTCCTTCCTTCATTTGGTTTAATCTTCACCATTTTTTCTGTTTTACAGAGATTTCTATCAAGTATTTTTTCGCTCTCATGTTCTTAGCTTTGACAAACTATTTTTTAAAACCTTTGGTATCGAACCCGTAGAATAGACATTCGCTCACATTGTACCAGGGCTAGGCAGCTCCGTTGACTTTCAACTCCAACTCCGTTTTCAAATTTTCGATTCAACTCTGCTCAAACTTTTTCAACTCTAACTCCAACTCCGTCAACAAAAATCTCAACTCCGGTTGCTTCAATTTTGTAAGGAAGATTTTTCGGTTTTAAGCAGGATTTTGGACGTTTTTTGAGCTTTTTCCGGTTGGAAAGCGCAAAGAACTTCCTAATTCACCCGTGAATACAGCCAGCCAATCGTTTAAAAGATCAGTTTTACAACCATTGAATATTTCCAAAAATGCAGAACGGAGTTGAGAATAAAAATTTAAAAACCCAATTACAACCTCCTAAAATCTCAACTCCAACTCCACTAAAAAAATCCTCAACTCCGGAGTTGGAGTTGCCCAGCCCTGCATTGTACTTTAGTTATAGCCTATTTTCTCACTGGTTACTTCCTCCAAGAACTTAAATTTCATCCCGTTTGTCTTTAGTCCAGACTAGACATGCAACATTCCCAAGCTAGGGCTCGCTAATCGGTAGCGAATCGTTCGATGCCGATCAGCGAGCCCTAAGCGCTTCCTACAACATTAAAGTACCAAAAGCAAGTAACGATGCCGTTAATACATCATGATTATGTCTAGTTGAATGTTAGATGAAATAATGGAAGAAATATGGGATGCTTAAACGTGAGTGGTTCACTGATATCTTTTTAAGAATCGAATGGATAAATATTCTTGACAGAAAAATAATGTATAATGCTGAGATAAAAATAATAACCCCAAATAAATACATACAGACGGATTTACAGGTCGTCTAGAAAGTTTTAAGATATCATCCTGACTTTATTTATATCATTTTACAACAGTGAAAGATATTCTACGGAAAATATCGCTTCCGATTGTCTAATATCGATAATAAATATATACTTATTCTTAAGCCTAGTAAAGATTGAATTTCGTTAGTGTACAAATAGTCATGGGGCTTCAGAGTATTATATATGATACTATAGTTGCTATCAACCTCAACTTATTTTTATTGAAATGCATGCCCTAATAGCTATTGTTCTCAATACTACTCTCAAGTATGCTGTATTCATACAAGACATATGCAGCTCCGGAGCGAAGCAAGAGGCAACATTTTATGTTTTAATGATGTATTTTCTTTTTAAGCAAAATTATGAAGTATTGATCGAACTATAGAAAGAATCGTTTTGTCAGTTTCTTCCATCGGAATGAAAACATTCCATGGTTATCTTAATCTTGAATGCAGAAGCAGACGGTGGTATCGAGAGATTTACAGATGTAAAGAAAGTAAATTGATTGACATCGGCCACCAGTAGTACTAAGAGACCGTGGACATCAAGCGGAAATCGTATTTATAGCCATAAGAAATGGCTATAAAAAACCAGATGGTAAAAAACGCAAACATAGTTAATGTCATATATATATAGCCGTTAAACAACCTGATTAAACCTATTTCAACCACGAAACAATACCATATCGCATCTCGGCATGATCCTCTTTTCATTCCGTTTCCTCACAAAAAACAGTTATTTTACTGCTAAACCCGAGCTCTGCAGCATGTTTTCCACCAAGAAAACCCTGAAACGTGTGAGATCACATTGATGCCCATAAATCATTCAGGACAAGATCGATACTGTAAAAACAGGCAGTAAAAATAGGACAAATAGCATACATTTAATTCATCAAATTTTCAACTTTCATTATAGTATTTGACACTAACATGAGAAAATACTTTATTTAATGAAACTCCAATATCCCATACAGAGAACATCCTTAAATCCTCCTAGATGTTCTCTGTAATTCTCTTACTGGCAGAAAGATGAAACTACTTCCGCTAATTTTATTCAAATTGAGTACAGCTGTCTAAAATAACATATTTTCACAAATAGATAACTTAACCTTCCCGATGTGTTTTTTTTAATTTGTAATAATGAAAATCGAACATTAAGAGAAAAGAGTAGAATTTAAAAGTCTACTGTGGTGACCACAGAAATAGTGAGTAGAAAGATCAACGAATAGTAGAAGTCTTACAGAGGTAACAACCAAGGTTTCAGACTACTTTTATTCACAGAATTTTATTTGAATATGCTGTTCTAATAACCAATCTAGTGAAGTGGCCTGAAATACGACAGCTAATAAGCGTAGAACACCTCGCAGCTCTAAAAACATTCATGATTGGTAGGTAAAAGCGTTCTTTACCGAAGTCCTATGCTCTGCACCCCATAACTGTTTGATCAATAGTTTTTAAAACTATTGATCAAACAGTGGAAGAACTAATAGTTCTTTCACTCACCACCAGATGTCAATTTCTCACTTGCAGACTAAGAGTATAGTTATAAAAGTAAGAGAAACGCCATTATACTTTAAATGAAAAAATGGGGAATATTGTACAAAAACCTGCAGGTGCCATTGATGAACATGTCACTACGCCACGGGACATGTATGATCCTATTTATGATTTAATGTCAAAACAACTGGTTGATGCTAACACGGTACACGATACTAGCGAATTCTACCAAGCATGCGCATATAATCGTCTTAATCAGGTCGAGGAATACTTATCAACCGTTCAAGTTGAAATGAAAGTGAACGACATTAGGCGTCGGTCATCAGTCGGTATTCCTAATCGGCCGGACACATCCGCTGTAACCGAAGATCCTATCAACTTTTTTGAGGCCAACGATATGGGTACTGCATTACACACGGCCATATTACATCGAAACTACGATATTGTCAAACTGTTGATCGAACATCATGCCGTACCGAATCGATGCTCAACCGATCGAACCACCGAGAAACAGATTCGTCTTCGGCAAACATTTGAAATTACGTCCAAATGGTATCCCGAGGGCAAACGAGCGTACCGTTCAACATCAATGACGCGAGAAGAGTTAAATGATTATGTGGTGGGTATGAATGTAATGAGCAAAATCTTTTTGTATGCAAATGTCAATTACAAAGATGAAGAGTATCTGGCATGTTTGTCAGATAAATTAGGCCCCAGTACAAGTTCAGTGGTATTCGAATATGAAATTCGACAAAATCGTACAGGATTGTTTGTTAAAAAACAGAATATTTATGAGAAAAATTCAGATGACAACCACGAATATGTGTTGATCTTGCCATTGACCAAATTTTTTGTTTCAAGCATTAAAACGCTGATAAGAAAACAACAACAACCAGTCAACTATCCTGATGATAGTGATAATGCAGATAGTAGACTAAGCGGACCGACTGGAGTCAGAAGAATTTTGAAAATTAGACTAATCGAACAAAAATGATTGTTTTAATTAAATAATGAGATTTTAATGCTGATACTATTCTGTTGTCATCCGCAATGGGTATTCTAATTCTAAATTGAAATAACAAATTTTCTGGTACAGTTGTAGCTTCTCATCTCGAAGTACATAAGTGTTTTGCTCTCAAAAATTTATTTGGTAAATCATTTGTCAGTAATAAAAATTTTCATAAAATAGCAACTAATACTGATTCTTCAAATTTTGCAGACCTATTGCATTACTATGAATTACTATGATGACTATGAACGGATACAGTAGAAAACCGACGGATCGACTGGAAAATGAACTCAAAACTTGTAAAAGTTTCAATTGATAGTGCCCTGAGCTGCTTGGCCCGATTACTATCCGTCATACGGTGCGTTTAAATTTTTTTTCACTTAAGATACAATGGCCTTTCTCTTACTTTTATAACTATAATTTGTCCCAGTAAGTGAGAAATTGACACCTGGTGGTGAGTGAAAGAAAGCAAACTATTGATTAAACCGTTATTGCGTGTATGATTTGAGTCTCTAGATACATCAAATAATCAAAACTGATTATTAATTGAAGCAAAGAAGCAAAAACGAATTGTGATGCCTACAACTCATTTTATGCTTATCCTGATTGTTAAAACCCACAATTTTGTTCCTTCATCCTTTATTTTATAAAATACTTTTTGTGTGTCATGGACGGATTCTCGCATCTTGTTCTAAACCGTTCTTCGACCGACAAACCGAAAATTGGACAAGAAGGTGGTGCATAATCCTTGATGTAAGCTGGTTTTAATAGGAAGAAGGCTGCACTGAAAACTTTTCGTTTCAAATAAAATCATTAGTATAGGGAAAAAGTACTTCACTTAGTGTTCGATATTCCTTGCGTTCCTTTAATGTTGTTTTCTTTTATAATTCAGTCTCTCAAAACTGGATAAATCTTTTCATTCGCCCTCACATACAGTCAAGAAAACGTCTTTTTTCTGTTATTCGTAACGTACATATCAATTGGTATTTAGTCCGCATGTGCGAACAATAAAAGAAGAGAACTGACTACTTCGAAGATTGATATGAGAAGATCAGTTAGAAATTGTGAGAGTATGGCATTAGGTGAACTTAGAGTTCATAGATTAGTTGAATTATGACCTTGTCTTGAGAGCGTCCTTGCAAGCTAGTTAAGCCCCCCCCCT